GAAATTATTGAAGAGGAGAAAGTCTATCAGAAATCTGGGATGAGATAATGATGATATTTGAGGAATTTTAGACCTAAGAGAAACTCCTTTACCTCCTGGAGGGAGAGTTGTTCAGTTTCCTCGTTAGATTAAAGGACAGAAGCCACATGGACAGAAGCTGCTTACTCTAAATTCCATTGGTTGATGGTGGCACAGTGACTGCTTGCGTGGGCAAGGCCCCTCAGCGCCATGATCACACTTTCTGAGAAGAGGCAGTAAGCTCTGTTTTCCTTGCAGTCAGGGAATTGAACTCAGGGGGCTTCACCACTGAGMCGCCTCCCCAGCCCTTTCTATTTTTAATGTTGAGTCAGGGTCTCACTCAGTTGCAGAAACTGGGCTTGATCTTGCCATCCACCTKCCTCAGCCTCCCGAGTCACTGGGATTACAGACGTGTGCCATCCCACCTGGCAGCAGGAACCTTTTAAAAAATACTGTTCTTTCATCAAAGTGAGGGCGTGACATAATTGGTCACTGGTGAACACTTTTCTGTAGGCTGCGTATTTGCTGTGGTAAGTAACCTCCTGGGGATCAATTTTAAACAGTAACAAGGCATAAAGGGAGTAAATGCATGTWAGGTCATGTCCCCAGCCTGTGTGGCTCAAAGGCGTCATTTCTATTTCACTTTGTTCAGGGGCAGGGTGGCCTGTGCTTAACAGCCTCATATCACCACCATTAAGTGTCTACTGGAAGTTCCCAAATTTCAGCACACATAGAAATTGCAAAGGATGCTCCCTTAAAATATGTATTCCAGGGCGCCACCTGAGAGATTCTGATGAGTCTATCCGGGATGAGACCCAGGAATCTGCATTGGAACAGGCTCTTTGAGTGAGCCCCAGGCAGGTGGTCCTCGGGCCTCTCTGGGAAACACTCTCAGAGGCCAGGTGATTTGATGGCAAACTTGTGAAAACTGAAGGTTTATCCTCTGTATGTTCCCTCTGATGGTGTGGGGCAGAGAGAACTCAGAAAGAACTTCTCATCTGCTTAACGGTTTGGCAAAAAGCATGAAAAATAAAACTTTTTTCGCCTTAAAATGTGTGGCCAGTGCAAGTCATCTCTGCTGTCAAAGTAAAACACCTCAGRCAGGTGGCTGGACCAGCCTCGTCCTCTCCGCAGCCCGGGAGCCTGGGAGTCTGGGAGCAGGGTGCTGGCATGGTCAGGTTCTGGTGAGATGTGCCCATGGCGGCCTTCTCCGTGTGTCCCCGTGTGCAGGGTGGAGCACCCCTCCCTGGCTCTCCTTASTGGGCGCCGGCCCCACCGTGAGAGCCTCATCTGTGACCTCAGCCAGGCTGACACCCCCACAGAGGCCCTGTTCCCAAGTACCATCTCATCAGGGCTCGGCGCTGGCCCTCTGGAGGGACGCAGTTCAGGGCATCGCAGTCAGAGTGCAGTCGTCCCCAGGGGCCCTGGGAAGGGCTGGTACGTGGTCCTGAGGAGCCCCTGACCCGAGGCTGGGCCTCCAGGGCTTTGAGCAGGAGAAGTCCCGCGGAAGGCTCTCTCCCGGTGCAGGAGGASTGAACCACCGCGTGGGGCCTGGAGGGGACATTCCTGGGAAAGCCATCAGGATGCCCACATCGCGGAGCGCAGCGTCCTCCCAGGAACCCGTTTCTTTCTTATCTCTCCTGCTAGAAGAGCCGAGGGCAGCCGYGGTCGTCCAATCCAGAGTCATGAAGCCTAAGTCGGTTCTGTAAGCAACGTGGAGAGAGCAGGGGCAGGGGACGTGGACTTCCTGAGGGGTGGGGAGAGGGAGGAGGACCAGTGCAAGGAGGCAGCTCTTCCATTGTGAAGTCACAGTGTGACTCGCTCTGGTTGAGAACTCTGGCTTCACACTTAACTCAGTGTAAGAATCTTTAAAAACAGAATGAAAATGACTCATGTGACCCGAGTTGTGTAGTATTAAGGTCACACATTTCAGTTCGAATATACAGTGTGCACGTCCTAAGATAAGAATAAATGGCAAGAAAAAAAGTTCAGATACTAAGAAATGTCAYACACAATGTGAGGTCCACAGTAATGGGATGGCTCTGCCTGGGAGTCCTGGGAGACAAGTAGATCTCAGCTGCTCTCAGACACACCCCCAAGGTCAACCATGTGAGCTGGTGGATAGGCTAGCTTGCTTCCCTCTGGTACCTGCATGCTGTGTGTATCTCCATGCTGTGTGTATCCATCTTCTATACCTTGAATATACACAATGAAAGTTTTATTTCAAAAAATTTTAAGTACTAAGAAATGCTAAAAAAAAAAAAAAGTATGAAACAGTCTTTTCCAAGTGTTCTCAGATCAGTCTCTTAGAGAAGTTGTGGGGTTTTATGGGTGAGTTTTCTTTGTAGACAACAGTCATTAAACTAGAAAGCCATTCCATAAGGCTTTGACTCTTTAGTATGAGTTTTTTCCCCCACAAAAAATAACCCATCTGAGTATAGATTGGAATTCTGCAGTTCTGTATCCTCCATATATGTATTCTCCCTATTGGCTTATTCTGATACTCATAGTTAATACTAATGTATTATCAATGACAAGTACTAAATTAGTCTTTTATACAACATGAAAATCCTAGCCATTCAGCTATTCAGTTCATAGCTGAATACTAAAACTATTAACCCAACAAAGTCAGTACCATTCATGGTAATAAAACATACTTATTTTAATAATATTTAAAAGTTTTGTTTAAAACAAAACTTTTAAATATTAGAGTTTTAAATATTTAGGGTTTGATGTTGAAACAAAGTTTTCTGTACGGTTCAGTGAAGGCCATTTCCAGTTCTTGCCTGCTTGGAAATCTTCATTATGTCAACACATATCAGCAGCCCCATTAGTCTCCTAGTTCACCCACCATGCATCCCGTTTCACGCCATGCTCCCCCATCCCACACATCCATACTCTGCTGTAACAGCCAGCATACACCCAGCTGCAGAAAGATTGTAATGTAATGCCAGAAAATACGTGCCTGTATTTAAAACATTTCTGATCATTAAAGGATTCAAAGAAAAGTTTAAAAAGAATTTAATACAAATATTTTAATACAAACATTCAAGCTACAATTAAAACTATTCAAAAAACACGAGAGGGTTTAAGTGAAAGATGGAATTCCCTGTCCACTAGGGCTCCCTGTTCACTGCCCATGGCCCCATGGCCCCATTGGGTTCAAAGCTTCTTGTGCTGCTTTCTAGAGAGCGCCATAAATACAGTATATGTATATGTGTGTGTGTGCACATGTACAGATGTGAACTTATAAGTGAGTGTACATATTTAATTCTAAGAGCTGTGGACAGTGAGGACAGTGCCACTCTGCACTCTCTGTCCTGGGATAGATTCACAAGCCTCCCTGGGGTCCTCTCTGGTGTCATCTGGAGCCCAGGTTGGCCTTGGTCTCGATTTAGAAACCTTCCACAGAGTGGAGAGCTGCTGGGGACTGGTACCCTCTCTGGTCTACCTGCTGAGGAGGCTGCCCAGCCTAGATGTCCTCCTCCAGGCTCCAGGGAGGCCAGTGGCCTCCCAGGGACTTCTCAGCCCTAACTCTATAAATATGATTTTCTCAATGGAAGGAGGTATTTCTGGAATGTATTGTCAAAATAAAGCATTTTCCTTTCCAGCCACTTTTCAAAAGACAGCAATGTGAGGGGGGAAATGCTTTATCTGGTTCCTTTTGGTGCAACTCATACCCCCCCTCCCCCTGCCAAAAAATAAATAAAACACACACACGCACACACACACACACACACACAAAAAAAAAAAAAAAAAACGACTTTTAAAGGAAAGTTATCTTGAGTGCTTCAGTCAGCAGAATGCTGGGACTGGGAAAAGGTAAAGACATGGATTTGCACGATCATTGTGCAATCTTCAATGGCCACTAAACACTGCACCAATCATTAAGGTATTCTAGATGATCACAATGTAAAATTATATTATTTATTTAGCATCGTTTTTCAGAGACTCATAATTTCTTTTAAAAAGCTTTTAGCTTTTCATTCATAAGCTTATGAGCAAAATCCAGAGAACTTGATAAATTTTCATTTACACGTGTAGTGAGGAAGCACAAGGGAATGAAATTATTTACCCAACCTCATAAAAAAATTGATGTAAACGCAAGTCCCTGCACACATCAATTAATGACATGGCTTTTATAATGCAGTCAAATCTTACCTAATGAGGTTGGCATTAGGATTTCAGAGCACATTATTCTAGATGTTCAGTTAGTACCTAGATACTTTATTCTCAAAGTAATACTAGGGAACTTTAAAACATAAATCAAACCATATCCTATTAGTTCAAAAGTGCAAATATATAGGTAATTAAACAATTCTCATAACAGGACAATTACTTTCAGCAAAGTAAATCCGAATCCATACTTGAATTTATATTTGCTAAATCTTGATTAGGTCATTGAAAAGACAAACCCTGTGATTTATTTGGAGGGAGAGGGGGAGGTCCCCTTAAGAGAAAAAATTAAAACCAATATCTCACAAGATGGATGCTTGGCCTAAGTGCCAATCTCTCTGTGTGTGTGTGTGTGTGTGTGTGTGTGTGTGTGTGTATGGGGGGTGGAGAGAGAGAGGAGAAAGACATTTTCCATTAAAAGTAGGAGCTGTGCGTGGAGAGGGTCGCTGTGCCCTGACGCATGAGTACACGAGCTTCTTCAGTGTCCCCAAGCCTGGTGCCTGGTGCCAAGCACCTGCAGCCTCTATTTCCAAGACTTTAAGAGGAGGAGATGGTTACTGCCACAGGGCAGGCTGGCTGAACGCCGGCTGTGCCAGGGTCACCGGAGCGGTGGGTGGCTGGTGGGAGTGGTCTTCAGCGTCATTCCATCAGAACAGCATTTTCTGGGGACAGGAGCTGTTCCCTGAAGGGCTCCCTGCCGCCCGGGCGTCCAGCTGCTCCTTGTGGCTGCGTCCTTAGAGCCGGCCTGGCGGGGCCSGGGCCCGGGTCTGGTGCGCGGCGACCCTGCGAGCCCTGGTCCCACAGCTGTTCTGTCCTTGCGCCTAGGTCCATGGAGGGGAGCCCGTCCCTGAGGCGCATGACGGTGATGCGCGAGAAGGGCCGGCGCCAGGCKGTCCGCGGCCCGGCCTTCATGTTCAACGACCGGGGCACCAGCCTCACGGCTGAGGAGGAGCGCTTCCTCGACGCCGCCGAGTACGGCAACATCCCCGTGGTGCGCAAGATGCTGGAGGAGTCCCGGACGCTGAACGTCAACTGCGTGGACTACATGGGCCAGAACGCGCTGCAGCTGGCCGTGGGCAACGAGCACCTGGAGGTGACCGAGCTGCTGCTCAAGAAGGAGAACCTGGCGCGCATCGGCGACGCGCTGCTGCTGGCCATCAGCAAGGGCTACGTGCGCATCGTGGAGGCCATCCTCAACCACCCCGGCTTCGCGGCCAGCGAGCGCCTGACCCTGAGCCCCTGCGAGCAGGAGCTGCAGGACGACGACTTCTACGCCTACGACGAGGACGGCACGCGCTTCTCGCCGGACATCACCCCCATCATCCTGGCCGCGCACTGCCAGAAGTACGAGGTGGTGCACATGCTGCTGCTGAAGGGCGCGCGCATCGAGCGGCCGCACGACTACTTCTGCAAGTGCGGGGACTGCACCGAGAAGCAGCGGCACGACTCCTTCAGCCACTCRCGCTCGCGGATCAACGCCTACAAGGGGCTGGCCAGCCCGGCCTACCTGTCCTTGTCCAGCGAGGACCCGGTGCTCACGGCCCTGGAGCTCAGCAACGAGCTGGCCAAGCTGGCCAACATCGAGAAGGAGTTCAAGGTGAGCCCTGTGCGCCCGGCTGCTCCCTGGGCTGTCCACACTAGGCGCCAGAAGCTCTAGAATGGGTTTCACCTAGTGGATCTTAGGTCACCAGGGATTGGGAGCACCCTGCAGAGTTGATGTGATGATTTTCCCCTTGTCAATGATAGTGCTGTGATATTCGCTTTGGGGATGGGTATATTCTGAATCCGAGCTACAAGTTTGGTATCCCTCTGTGTTCTGGGTAAACGTTAAATAAAACTCAAGACCTCTCCATCTCCTTTTACCAAATAAGATTTGGTGTGACCTTCCCTCTCCCCAGTTCTTCCTCTTGTCTTGCAGTTAGTGTCCGGTGACACCCAACACAGAAGTAGTTATTAGCTTTTTGGTTTGTTTTTATTCGGGGRTAGGGATGGGGATGCCTGGTCCCTGGAGGAGCTGCAGGACCAGGTCCATGATGGGAGTGGACGCTCCTATTCCTTCCCTCTGCAGTGATATTAGTTTTGAAAGCCCTGTTAATGGGCACAAGTGTTTTGATAGCCCTTTACAATCAAAGATCAAGAGGATGATATAAAACACTATTAAAATCATTTCGTTAATGTGACTAATGCCTCTCCCTGAATTCCACAAATGTATATTCAGAGGGTGAGACATAGATGTCAGGTCAAYGCAGAAACCCAAGGACACCGAAATGGGTTGCCTTAATGGATTTTGTTGTTGTTGTTAATGAGTGAACATTTTTATTCCGCTTTAATGGACTTTTTAAGTGAGTGAACTTTTTTCTGGACCTAATTTCCAGTCAAGCAGTATTATTTTTATAAAGATTATATATTAGTGAGAGACTTTTTTTCTCAATGCTGCATCCTCCTATGCATTTTGAATGGTTCTAGCTGTTAAACTCTAGGGCTAAAGTGTATTTCGTACTTCTGGTAAAAATCAGTCAAACTCTTGAGCAGTTCTTGTCTCCCACTTTTCACCTAAGAAGATGCAGGCATCAATTCCTTGAATGATTTTCTGGGCACCGTGTTAATTTTTTGGTTTAGTGTTGTGGTATCAAATCACAGGAAGAGTGGTTTGTCTGTCTTTCACATCTTAATATTATTTTTCACATATAAGTGAGATTTATTCAATGTAACTAACAACATAATTCAGGTTAAGGAAAAACTGTTTTCCTCTGGGGTTCCAAGAAAATGGTGGGAGAGTGGTTTTCTCCCCTGCTTTCCAAACACCAAATTCCCTACCTATTCATCAGACCTTGCTAGATCTCCTGGTGGAGATCTAGCCTTAAGATGATCTTGTTAATTCATTCAATTTTGTTTCCTGATGCAAAAGCTAGACATAGTTATTGTAAAAATCTTTTCAGAAAACATGGGAAAATATGAAGAAGAAAATTAGTATCACTTTATATCTAGTCCCTTTGAAGACATTTATTATGTGGTAATTGAAAAGATTAATTTCCTTGGATCCAAGATGAAAGTCTTTTAGATAGAATTCAGGTTGAAAAATTTCAAAATTTCAAACTGGCTAGAGAGGGTAGAAAAACATTTGGGTAAAATGCTTCTAAATATCAGGGTTTTTGTTTTGTTTTGAGACAATAATCGAAACATAATTCTGAATTTGCTTATTTGCCACCATTTCAAAAGCACCACGAAMCTTGTTTTTAGTTTGCTTGATGTATATTGAAAGTCTGCAGAAGAAATTCTACAGACAGGATTATTTTGAAAGATTCTGTAATTTACTAAAGGTGGCCATGTTTGCAGTTTTCCCAGGGAAGTCACGCAGAGAAGCAATGGCAGGCGTTTGTTAGTCCCGGTTTCCCCCGAAGCTGGCTAAGTCCATATCAGTGATGCTGGGACTCCACTCGGATGGAAGAGTCGCTGCTGATAACCTGTCAGGTGCAGCAGCCCACGGGGACAAGCGCAGGGAGTCCCAGAGGACAGCCATGGGGCGGCCACACACTGAGAATGGGCCAGTGTCCCCAAATCTCCAGTTCCTTTTCTCCTTGCATGGCAAGCGGGTGTAGCCTGACCCCCTCTGAGCCTGGGAGGACTGTCCTCCCTGCGGTCAGAGCCTCCCAAGACTGCCAGCCTCCCTGCCCTGACGGAGGCACGGTTCCTCCCCTGAGCCCCGTCCTCACTGTTCCCTTCTCATCTGCTCTCCCKCTGCCCCTGTGCCCTCCCATCCCGGGCGCCGGGCATCTGTCAGGGCTTTAGACAGAAAGAGAAGCTGGTGCTTTCCCAGCCTGACCCAGACTCTCTGAGCTCTGAAAGGGCAGTGCGAGCGAAGCTCTTCCTGGGGAAAGCAGGTAACCTAATTTGCCCTGTTCTGCCGTGTTCGCAATCCTCTCTCCACAGGGACTTTGAGTACCAGCCTTGGAATGGAAAAATAGATATCGTGTTCCCTGGTGAAAACGTGGTGATTTTCCCCTTCTCAGACACCTATGCCTATTTCATCTTATTAATGGTCTGTAATAGCTCATGTCTCACCTCTCAAATTGCCTTCCTGTAGGTGCTTTGGAGGAGATTCTCAGCCACTGTGCAGTTTCCAAAGTTCCTTGAGGGCTGCAATCCGCAGGGTGTCAAAAACACATGAAGGTCATTACCTGCAGAGGTCGCGCATTCTAGGACATAGATTTAGATAGATTAACAGAGGACAGCCCAGTGACAGGTTATTAAAGAAGTATTTTAGATGTGCAAATGCTGTCTGAAGCTATTCTAAGAAACAGAATATTGGACAGGAGGGACTCTGGGTCTAATTGGCCACATGTCAGTGACAAGGAAGTCAGCCATCTATTAAACAGTGAGAAAGCAAATTGAAATTTCCTAACTCTGACTGAGCGGGTGATGTACTTTTTAAATAAAAGACAAAACAAAATGACAATAACTACAAAACAAAGCCACCAGCCTTCCTGTGCCTCAGTTTGCCTCTCCTTAAAGCAGAAAGGCAGTTTCGATTTACACCACAATAAGGAGAAAGAAAATAAATATGATCTACACGCAGGGTAATGTTTGAGAGCAGGAGGATACTCAAAGAGTCATCTGCTTCCATAGTCCTCTCATTTTACAAATGAGGAAATCAAGGCTAAATCCCAGGTCCCATTTGCTAAGCCTCGATTTGAGTGTCTTAGATCCCTGTTCTAGGAATTATAGCTAGAATAATAGACCTGATAATACTGAAGCACCTCTATAGTACTTAATGTGTACCAAGCACTTAATCCTTATAATACTTGTAGAAGGCAGGATTATTCTCATCAGAGAGAGCAAGTAAATTCCACCAGAGTACACAGCAGGTCAGTGGTAGAAGCAGGGTTTGAGTCCAGGAGTCTGACWTCAGGTTCTAAGGAAAGCCAAGCTTAATCACTACACCTCCTCCCTCTTTTGCTGTTAGAGAAAGGACCCTGGAGAACCAAGCCTGCTTAGAGTTGAATTTAGTTTTCCTCTTCAGGACAGAAAGGGATTGGAATGGAGATTAGACCATATAAATTGAAAGAAGTAGAGCTGAGTGTTGATGAAGACTGAGCTCTGCAGTCACTGCTTTGGCTTGAGCAGGTCCCGGGGTTTGCAGCGCCTGCCCTGTACTGTGCCGTGAGTCCCTCTGCCAACTGGAGGGCCATGGTAATGGAAAAGCAGCACTGTGAAGACCATTGAGCAAAGCTAAAGAGAGGAATGTCTTAGAAATTGTAACCAATCATGATCTGAGCTGCGAAGCCACRCGGCAGGACCTCAGAGTGGGATGAGCAGTCAGCATAGGCTTCATGGATGCCCTTCTGGGAACTGATGGCAGGTGCTGAGTTAGACAGAGCTGTCTGCCTTCCTGAGGGCTCCCAGTAGCTCTTAGAAATGGTGCCCCATGATGGCAGTGAAGGAGATTCCCATTAGCTGGTCCTGGTGGTGCACGCCTGTAGCCCTGGTATTCGAGAGTCTGACACATGGGTTGCTTGCGCCCAAGAGTCAAGAGTTTCAGGTCAATCTGGGCAATGCAAGGAGACCTCAGGTCAAACAGACAAAAAGAGAGAGAAGAGGAGGAGGACAAAGGCAGGAAGGAGGGAAGGGCGGACCATCCTCTCCGGYTATGATTGTTTTCTGCACTTTGTTATGAAAACAAAACATTGTCCTTGCAACTTGCATAATTACTAACTTTTTGTTTCTTGACTGACCTTTCGGTGAATGTGAAAAAAATTTACACAGCTTTACTTAAAACTGGACACTTTTCAGATTATGATTTTAAAGGTAATGAGTCAGCATTTGGGTATCACTGCAAAGCCAAGTGCTGAGCTTTCTTCCAAACCTGGGAAGCAGCCTCTTTTATTTCTGATCGGTGGAGAAATGGCCATCCTATGTTTTACAAATCTTACAGAACGGTCTGAACTGAAGAGTAACATGAGAAAATTCCATCTAAAAAGACTGTATTAAAAAGGGAGCTTTCTATGGAAACAGGCATGGATTTAATACTTCTGTGTGCTATAATAAAATATTTCATTAGTCTTCAGGAATGGAGGGCAGATGGATGTTTAACTGACCCTCTGCTTAGAAACCAGAGACTGGAYATTTTATTAATTTTATCAGTTGTGTGGTACCAACTTGAATGGAAACCAAAGATCGAAGTTTTATTCATTGTATCTGTTCCCTTATGAGAGGAGAAGGATTAACTGTGACTGTTCCGAATCTAATCTCTGACATCAGAAATGGAAACTGTTCTAGTTGGGGCAGCCTTTGAACAATACCTCTTTCCTCTACTTTATTTTAGTTGGTGCAGTTTTGCCCATAAGATCAAGTTAAATATTTAAAGGAAGAGAATTGGAATTCTTTGTGTCTTCTTGCAAAGAATGATCTCTGGAAGCCCAGGAATTCTGCAGTGCTGAGTATTGCTGGGTTATACAGACACAAGGAGTCTCAGAATGTGTTGCAATGAGGAATTCTATTTCCCTCAAGTGTACCAAATTAAATGACTATCTGGATGGCTTCCGTAAGGGGCTAGAATTTTAGTTCACAGAGGTAGAGCTGAGGTTTCTGAAGGTGAGACACTTTCCCAAGAGATGGTCTGTGGCACCTTGACCGGAACCCAAGGCTGGAAATAGAGCTGCCTTCAGGAGGCAGCAGGGACTGCTGTGGGCGCCACTGAATATGCAAATGAAATTAAAAACTCTCAGATTATTTTTAGCAAGGTGTTAGTTCCAGTGGCCTGGAAATTTTTCTCGCAGGTATTGACTTTCTGTAACCCTTGAGATTTCAATTATGTATAATCAGGCATTTCTCTCCTAGTTCTGCTGGGAGTGATAATGTGCCTTGAAGACAAACCAGGAAGAAAACCCTCCTCATATGGTGGGAACCCATTCACTCCTTCATGTCTATCAGAAAACATTCTCAAGCATGAGCTTGGGTCAGAACCACTCACAGGTCGCTGGGCCCTCCTCCAATTTCTGCATCAGGACACCTGGTACAGATCTGAGAACTGTGCTTTGAGAAGCAAACTCTCCTACAAGGCAAGGGATGGCGACCTGGACGGGGTCCTTCCACATGTAGTCCATCTTCCATGTCCAATTGCCAGTCAATAGATATARTGTTGTTTGGGCTTTAGAATAACTATTGTGTGTATAAAACAGATACAACTCTTTGATCCTTTGGTCTTTCAGCATTGCCAATTAGCCAACATCACTTAATAAGAACCAGTGAATTATAAGCACATCACTTTTTTTAAAGAAATGTAAATTTTTTTATTTTTTGTAGTGATGGTGAATCAAACCCAGGGCCTCACACATCCTAGGAAGTGCTCTGCTACACTGAGCTACATTGCCAGCTAGAATTTTTAATTGACATAATGATTTTATATATTTATGGAGTACCATGTGAAATTTTGATGTATGTGTGCAACGTGGAATGATCACATGAGCAGTTAACATATTCATCACCTCCCTTATCATTGTTTATGGTGTGATACTTGAAGTTTACTCTCAGAAATTTTGTTTTGAGGGGGTGGGTACTAGGGATTAAACTCAGGGGCACTCAACCACTGAGCCACACCCCAACCCTATTTTGTATTTTATTTAGAGACAGGGTCTCACTGAGTTACTTAGTGCCTCATCATTGCTTAGGCTGGCTTTGAACTTGGGATTCTCCTTCTCAGCCTCCTGAACCCCTGGATTACAGGTGTGCACCACTGCACCTGGCTAYTCTCAGCAATTTTGRAATATTACATATTACAATAGTTACATTGTTGTAACTGTAACCACTGTGCTATGCAATAGATTTTGAAAATYCATTCTTCCTGTCTAACTGAAACTTTGAACCCTTTGTTCACCATCTCTCCATTCCCTCCTCACCCCAGTTAACCATTATCTGTTCTTCACTTCCAGGGGTTGGGGGGTTTAGATTCCACATGTAAGTGAGATCGCATGCATACTGTTTTCAGAACTGTCCCAAGCCATTGGGCAGGTCATAGAGGGGAACCTAGCTAAGGAGGAGGCAACTCCAGCCCTATCTATCTCAGCAAGGCTTCTTGTCTGGGGAAGGGACACCTTTGCTAATCCACACACACTTAAACGCTTCCCGCTGGGTAAAGGGAAATCTGTTGTTTTAAGCACRACTATAAAAACCTCTTGTTTTTAGAACGACTATAGGAAGCTCTCCATGCAGTGCAAAGATTTTGTGGTGGGCGTACTGGACCTCTGCCGGGACTCGGAGGAGGTGGAGGCCATTCTGAACGGAGACCTGGAGTCTTCGGAGCCCCCGGAGGTGCACAGGCCCAGAGCGCTGAGCCGMGTCAAGCTCGCCATCAAGTATGAAGTCAAAAAGGTGAGTGGAYGCTTCACCAGGACGTGGCACACCAGTGCCAGTGTCCAGGATGCTTGGGGACCATCAGAGMAGATGCCATGGACTGAAGGAATTCCTGTTACTTCGTGACAGACATTGAGTAGAGAATCCAGGTAGAGCTGCAAGATAAACGTCTAGGTTTGGATCCTTTCCACTTATTTTCCATTATGGGTCCTTGGATAAGTCATAAATCTATAAGTTTCAGATTCCTCATATAAAAGGAGGACATTCCCCGTTATGTGTCTCAGGGTTTTGGTGGGATTTAAAAGGATGAAGATATGCAAAACATTCTGGCAACTGTTGCAATTTCAATGCAATTAATACTAGTATCTGTAGCTTGTATACATGTAAGTATAATCACTGTGCTATGCAATGGATTTTGAAAATCCATTCCTCCTGTCTAACTGAAGCTTTGAACCCTTTAATCACCATCTCTTCATTCCCTCTGCACCCTAGTTAACCACTTGTTCTTCACTTCCAGGAGTTGGGGGGTTTAGATTCCACGTATAAGAGAGATCGCATGCCTACTCTTTTCAGAGCTGTCCCATGTCGTTGGTACTATTACATTGACAACAGGCTGGGGAACTCACATGTAAGGTACTATTACATTTTTTCTCATCCTAATCTTTGCAGCAAGACTATGTTATTATTTATTTTACTATAAAATAGCTAAGATAGATGATGAGGTTTCTGTTGTTCTGGAAAACTGAAGGTCACTGACTTAAATGACATGTCCAAGGTCCAGAGCTATGGAGTTGGTCATATAAGTATGAGAAATTGAAAGTATGATTATTTTTATTCTATTGCAGAAAAACTGTTAGGTATATTTATAAAACTGTTAGGTATATATATTTTATTTATTTCTAAAACTGTYAGGGATATATATTAAATAAATAGATAATTAGATATAAAGTATTAGATAATTCATGAAAATAGTAGTTGCAGTATTTTTCACTATAATAAAAYCATATTTATCCAGAATCTGACAGTTTATCCATGTTGTAGCTGAGGGGGTTTCTTTGTTCTGTTTTTGTTTTTTGCTGTGTGTGCTTTAAATGGAGCTGACAGATCATGAAGACGTTAGCTATTATTAGAACAGACAGAGATCTGGTTTCCTGATCAGGTCAATGACCAGCACGGCTTCTGTCCTTTCTGCAGAGTGGCATGGGGCTTAGGAGGACAGGCATCGGAGCCACCCTGCAGGACTCAAGGCCTGATGTTGCCATGGGTTCCCCGAGTGGCCAGTGGCAAGTCGCCTGGCCATCTAGGCTCSATCTGCTGGTCAGGAAAGTGGGGACCATAACAGTGACTAACATTCAGGTGTTTGATGGTTGGTTACAGCAGATACAGGGTACTACACGGTGTTTGCTCAATAAGCATTAACTAATAACATTTCTCCATTATGAAAATTCCTGCTCAAAGTGAATGACCTTTAGGCAAGATCAGTCACTAAAGACATGTTTCGGGTCCCTTGTGCTGGTTCCAGTCCTTGGTATCAGACGTAGCCGATTTTAGCAGGAAACCATGGGTGTTAGGAAGCTCACAGAACCAGAAGGAAAGGTGGAACTAAGCTGGGCTTCTAGAAACTTCACTGGAACTGACCTGGACAGGGAGTTCCTGTGGCCCCAACAGAACGATTCTGCGGCTGAGCAGACAGCAGCTCCTGCACCGYGGAAAGGACGCTGTGAGTCCCCCAGCCTGTTGTCAAAGGGCCCTTGCAAGTCACACCAGCAGGAGCTCTTGGCAGCAGGTGAGGACGGGGCAGTCTCCCTGTACCCTCGTGGACACACACAGGTGTGCACACACATGCACAACACAACCACAGTGTGGAGAGCTTCTGCATGTGGCACTCYGTGGATTCTGTTCAGACATTAATGACAAATCTCCCTTTCCTTAACAAGACAGTCAGATGTGAAGGTTCTCAGCAAAGATCAAAGCAAAATAACTTTTCATGGAAATTATYAGTTGCAAGGTAATTCAGTTGGCTTGACCGCCCTCTTCTCAGCGCATCCTTGCTAGTTGAGGTTTCACTATGTTGGGGGAAAAGATAATTTCAACAAGATTGATAGTAAGCTGTTTTTAGAAAGTTGTCTGGACACGTCTTCACGGAGCTTGCAATATGTGGTCCTTCCGTTTGGCACCTGAGAGTAGAGAATTGATTCTGCTTGTCTCTGGTTTTTTATCATGGCTGTGGAGTGTCGTGTTGGCAGAGACAGCTCGTCTGCAGAYGCACTCCTGTTAACCACGCTGTCTTGCAGAGTGATTGTCCTTCTGCATGTTAATTTTAAGCAAATTGGTGCATAGGTCACAATGTGTGAGGTGTCATTAATAGTAAATTTGCTAACAGTCAACCACCAGGAAACAAACAAACAAACAAAAAGTATTTAGAACTGAAAGGTGACTTAGCCCTTCGTAAGCATTTCTGTTCTGTTTGTTTTATGCCCTAAGGAATATTGAAGCCTTTGGTTTGGAATCTTCACTCAATAACAGTGTATAAGAACTTCATTCTAGCTAGGCATGGTGACACACCTATAATCCCAGCTGTCCTGGAGGGTCATAAGTTCAAGGCCAACCTCAGCAACTTACTGAGACCCCCCTCTGGAAATTAAAAACAGAACACCTGGAGGTGTAGATCCTGGGTKCAGTCACCGTCCTGGGGGGCTCTGTCCTGGAATCCCAGAACCGCCCCAGCTCTCCCTTTCCTCTGCTGTCTCGGAGGCGGGCTGCACTCTGCACTCCCCGCTCCCATCTCCACCCCAGCCACGGGGAAGAGCATCACCCCTTCCACTCTGCCACTTCCCTCACCACCACCTCCTTACTAGTCCCCAAGCAAAGCGACCTCTAGATGATAAGGACACGTCTGCCCACTGAGGCTCAGAGCTGGTCCACGGGGCTCCCAAGTGACGTCATGCCTTAGGGCCCCCTGTCCTCAGTAGCCTCGTGAGTCCATGCTCATTCAGCCGATGTTCCACCGTGGACACTGGCTTTATTAATGGCAAGCTGTGGAGGCCGACGACTTAGGACTTCTTTCCTCTGCCACCTGCCCAAGGGCTGCTCCCTGCTTTACTCCATAAGCAGGCCATGAGCCTGGACCAGCCCCGAGCCCCCAGAGCCCAGGTCCTGCCCAGGTCCATCCATTCACTCCATCCCGGCCTCACAGAGCATCCACAGGTGATGAGCAGAATGAATACGCAGAAGGCCGGAACAGGAAATATGCGACCGTGCTTTTGACGTTTGTATGGGAAAGAAATTTCCCACATGAAGGCAAAAGAAGTCTCAAAGCAGAAACAAATGATACTGCACCCCAGAAAGATCACAGACAGAACAGGGAAGGCTGAGGTGGAGACTCCGAGGTGGTGTGCTTGTCTAGCACGTGCCAGCCCTGGTTTCCAGCCTCAGCACCACATATCAGTGAATAAATTAAGTGAAGGTACTGTGTCCAATTACAACTAAAAAATGATTTCTTTAAAAAAAAAAAAAAGCAAGGGACAAACTGGGAAAAGATTTTTCTGGATTGTCACTTACAGAGGATTGGTGTTCTTAATATCCACAGGGCGCAGAGAAATGTGTGTGGAAACGTCCAGGGCCGGGGGACCGTGAGCAAAGGCTCCCCACGTGACCCCAGGAGAGGAAGACTCAAGTTTCAGTGTTTACTAACGTGCAGACCCTGTGCTCCCTCCCTGTTATCAGAGAGCCAGAGCCACAGCTCAGGGGAAGTGGCAAGCCCGCTCACCGCGTCCTATCAGGGAGTAGATCTTGAAGGTTACTGGTCCTAGAACTATTTCTGTGGGATGTCCAAAGCAAACCCTGAGGCCAGAAGGATGATAAACATTACTGTTTACATAGATGGGCACTCTATTCCACTAAGAGCATGGAATCCAGTGAAAATGAAATTGAGTTCCTGAATATTAACTTTTGGACAAAAGCATTAACTTTGTCCAATTTGAATAATGGACTCTGCCCCTAAAAAGGCTTTTGAGTTCCAATCCTGGCTGAACCTCGGTCCTGCTCTTCAAGTGAGCCTCAACCCCTGCCCTCCACAGGTGTGATAAGTGCCACCTGGGAAGTGTCCCAGGAGCCGGCTGCTGTGGCCGATGGCCCTGCATCATGCAGACCACTCAATCTGTGGACCTGCGAGCCTGAGAGGAAGCGTCCCCTGGCTCCTCTCCCTGGGTTCCTCTCCCTGCATAATGGGCTCAGTTTCATTGTCTGAGAYTCATCTAAGGAGGGGACGTGAAGCAGTGCAGGCCTGACAGCCCCAGAGCCACCGACTCTGTGCCCTCGGCCAGGCCCAGGGGCTGCCCCCGCACCTCTCCTACCCCTGGRCTCAGGTACCCGGACAACAGCAGGCCCTCAGCCCGGTCCACAGTCTGGGAAACCTGTACAGTATAGAAGCTTTACATTTATATTTCACAACTCAATGAGCTGTAAAAAGAAGTTGTCCAGTTGTCACTCACAAGAATATTTTATTTTAAGCTGTATGAATTGTGGCTCTATCCGTGTCACTAAAAACAAAAACAGAGTGTTCCTACCACGTTTTTACACAGCAATATGATATGTGAATATTGTGAAATCTGATTTGATGAAAAGACGGTGTAAAATGAAAATGTTTAAGTGTAAACCTATTTAATTGTTCTGTCTAGCTTGTCCTGATTGGTGGTTCAGTTTACAACCTACTAGTCATTTGGCAGGAAAAAAAAAAATGTTTGTCCTAGAGTGCTGTGGTGCTTTGCTCCACCAAAAGATCGGCGTTTTCTTGGGTCAAGCATTCTTCCTTCAAATCAGAAAACCTCAAATAAGGGTATTATTTTTGTAATGACTTCAATTTGCTGGTCCACTGAAGTTGGGAAACAACATACAAATTCTATCCAGCTAGTTGTGGTGTGGAACACAGGGATATTTTTTAGAAAGTAAAATAGTTTTAAGAGATAAAGGTCAGTGCCCTATTTTGAAGTCATTGGAAAGTGAAAAACTCATCTCCTAGAGGGATTAGTTTTGTTGGTTTTTTTTCCCCTTACTTGCTAATACTATATTTGGTTTTATCTTCTGCTTTTGAAATGCCCTTTATATGCTTGTAGTAGAATTTTAAATTGTTGAGAAAAATCTATTTGCATGAACTAAAAGTAATACAGATGTCATGGAGGGTGAATTATCACAAATAAAGAGAGGGTAGAAGTAGGTGTGTAGGAAACACACCTGCTAGGCTGAGTCTTAAAGTATGACACACAGAGCAGACACTGTGATCTGGGCTGGCATCTAACAGGCTGGGAGATTTGCACTGTGTGTCCAAGTCACAGCAAGTCAGACACTGACCCTCACGTTTGCTGTGTGGTAAGGACARGTTTCCGTCGGGGGTCTGAGGCCGTGCAACCTTTATGCAGATGTAATTCATGCCATCAAACGCATCTTCAGGTCTGAGGATTAGCAGGCAGGAAGAGGGAGAGCCACACCACAGCTTCAATGTTTCCATCCTCAGGGTTTAAAGCCTCAGAGAATCATAGTCCTTGTGCTGCTGTAACCGAATATTTGAGGCTAATTTACAGGAAGAGAGATGTCTTCCTCGGAGCTCTGGAGATAGTCCTAGATCAAGAAAGCATCCGCAGGTTCAGTTCTGGTGAGGACTGCATCCTTCAGACAGGCAGGGTCCTGACGCGGCAGAGAGTGAAGACAAGCCAGCTCACCGTGGCGCAGGAACTCTCTCTGTAAGGTTTCATTCCCTCAGGGAGGGAGGGCCCTCTCGGCCTCCTCACCTCTTAGTAGAGGGATTTCTGCTTTTGTTTTAAGAGACAGGGTCTTGTGATGTTGCGCAGCTGGCCTTGCACTCCTGAGCTGAAGGAATCCTCCTGCCTCAGCCTCCCGAGAGCTGAGGTGTGCACCCTACACCTGGTCACCTCTCAAAGCTCTCACCTCTTAAGAATATCACATGGGCAACATCCAAATTTTGGAGGAGACACATTCAAACCATAGTCAGCAGACAAGCCCCAAGGAAATTTATCCAGAAATCCCAGTGGACACAGCCCACGTGTCTCCAGACCTCACGGGTATTCTGTGCCTCACAGAAACCCCTCGACTTATTAAAAAAAAAAAAAAAGGTGCAAGGTTGTGGGGCTGGGGCCACAGCTCAGTGGTAGAGTGCTCATCTCGCACGTGTGAGGCCCTGGGTTCGGTCCTCAGCACCACGTAAAAATAAATAAAGATATTTTTAAAAAAAGAAACATGATATCCTTAAAAAAAAAAAAAGGTACAAGGTTGGCTTTCCAGGTAGTGACAATCTGGTGACTTATGTGCTCAGCCTGTAGCTTTCCTTCCTGTGCCAGCCTGGCCAGCGTTACCAGGGGTGCCCTTTATTTCTGCCTGTCCAACTTCCCACAAATGCAACCCCCCAAATTCCAAGAGACGTGGACCAACATCCAAATTAACACTGTTTCATTTTAAACTCTGTGTGCCCCACGTGGAGTCCCACCTCTGTGACCACGCCTGTCCCTTGGCGAGAGCTCGCTGCGTTCCCTGGGCAGGGCCAAGCCCTCTGGGCAAGGCGGGTKCCCCCATCTTTATCTTCTTGTGCCAAGTGCCCAGCACAGTGTCTGGCTCTCAGCAAGGTCTCAGCCATTCTGATGAGTGAATGAATAATGAGATGGACATTGGGAGCTGGAGAGAGGGGTGAGAATAAGAAAATGATACAAATATAGGACCAGGGCGGGGGTGGAAATTTGGAGTTCTCATCAAGGGTCCTAAGAATCTCGTCACCTAGACCCGGGAAGTTGTCACCCTTGATTATACCCACAGATTTCTTTCTCCTTCTCCTCCTCCTCCCTCTCCTCCTCCCCCCTCCTCTTCCTTCTTTTTTCTACAGCTGAGGATGGAACCCCAACTCTGTGCACCAGTGTTCCACCACTGAGCTACACCCCAGCCCTTTTTATTTATTGAGACAGGGTCTCACTAAATTGCCAAGTCTTGCCTCCAACTTGCAATCCTCCTGCCCCAGCCTCTCTAATAGCTGGAATTACAGGCATGTGCCACCATACCCAGCACTAGACCCAGGGATTTTATCATTTTCGAATAATGACTGCAATGTTACATGAAATATTGTTTTCAAAAGGCAGAAAGTTTAAAGTGTGACAGCATCTTGGTCTGGAAAGATCTAATGAGTACTTAGCATCCGGCAAGCACTAGAGTGCATAAGGACCTCAGATCTGTATAACTGAATGAAAGGAATTTATAATAAAATGTGTCGTAGTTTGGGCCACTRTAACAAAATACCTCAGCCTGGGTGATTTATAAACAAAAGAAATGTATTTCTCACTGTTCTGGGGGCTGGAGGGGGAGCTCAGGTGCAGCAGGGTTGGGCTCTGGTGAAGGTGCTTTTCCGGGTTACAGACTGTGATCTTCTCATTTACCCACATGTGGCAGGAAGGGGACTCTTACAAGGGCACTGATCCTGCCATGAGAGCTCCACCCTCACCGAAAGCAAAATGAAAGAGAAAGAAAAAGAAACAGAGACAGACCCCAYGGGTCAGCCATGCTTAGTTCCTCAGTGGAGGGCAAGTTTTCAAGAGAGAAAATGGCAGCTGGTGACAGTAGGGTCTGAGTTCCCGAGGGTTTAGTGAGACTGAATCTCAGTGAATGTGTGGGTGGGGCAGTCGGGGGACAGTTGTGAAAGTCCAGAGCCCTTGTTCTCCTCTTCTCCCTGGGGGTTCACTCACCCTCTCCTGACACCCTCACATCAGGGGTTGGACACAAACACTAAGTCCATAACATATAAATATACATTGACCATCAAACAAGAAAAGAGCAGCCTCTTGCAAGCCGTTAAACCCTCCAAACACCACTAGGTAGTGGTGTTGCAAGTAATCCAGTTGAGTATTTCAAATATCACATCTGTGTCTGCATTCCCTCCGCTCTGTCAACTGGCTCTCAAGTCCTCTTGCACGCGGCTCAGTGGCAGCTGGCAGAGCTGTCAGGCCTGCATGCCCGGAGTGGGTGCCTGCAGGCTTCAGCCAGGGGTGGCCATGCGGGGGCATCGTGCCCAGGGGTGTGGACAGCTGGGTGGCTTGAGGAACTGCCTGGGTGACAGGCACCGTTAGGGTCACTGGCCAGAACTTGATGGACGAGAAACCCTTGGCCAGTGGGACTGCGGCTGCTCTCTGCCTCTCCAAGTTCCCAGAACATTTTGTGGGTGCATCCTAACAGGTTTGTTGTTATTGCTTATTCTGGCTTTCCAGAAGACAGTGAGAATTTTATTTTATCATAGTAAAAGTCTCCTTTAAAAAAATCTGTTGGCGCTCATAGTCYGCTTTGGAATGACCTCCAGATTCGCAAGCTTGGGCATTCAAAGGAGGGCGGACCTAGCACCATGGCAGCTTTGGGGCCTGGGAGCTTTACCTTGGCCTGATATTGTGCTTCCCGGAAGAGGGCAGGTCCCTGAGAACCCYGGTGCCTCTCAACGATGCAGGCAGATGGCGTGGCGAACTCAAGTGGCAGGCTGAAGTCAGTGACACTGGTTCATTTTTCCTGAAGAGACCGTAGTCATGAAACAACTGCTGGAGATGTTGTGTTCTTCTCGCCTGTGTGGAGGAAGGCCCTGCAAGAGGGCAGGTTTCTGAAATAGAGAAATCCCGGGGATGCCAGCCCGGAGGCAGTGGGCGTGGACCCGGCCCCACCTGCAGGTCACTGGTGCTTGGCAGGTCTGGGTTTTCAGTGACAATACCTACACACTCAGGGGGCACAGCATCTCTGTGTTTTTCATACATGATGCATTTTAGGGCTGCTCGAGACATTTAAAAACACCCTCTTTCAGCAGTAGTCGACAATAAGCCAGATACCTTTTGCGTTTCCATTGGCATTGAGTGCCAGGAGCCGGCAGATGGCAGGTCGCAYGCTTTCACAAAAGGAGCCAGGCGCCACTCAAACTGCTCACAGGAAGCAGTGCACGTTGGAGGGTTTCTGTCAGAAAGAACTCTGATGGAGGACAGTGTCGGTTCCACGCCTGTCTCCACATGAGCTCTGCTAACAGTCACGAAGTAGCTTCGGGAAATGGAGGGAAGGCAAAGGAGGATTCTCCGGAACCTCCAGGGCCTGGGTCTGGCRCTGTCTGGGCGCACGTGGGGCCCGGCTGAGCAGTGTGCGCGGTGTGGTGACTTCTCTCTCTCCCTTCCCCAGTTTGTGGCGCACCCCAACTGCCAGCAGCAGCTCCTGACCATCTGGTACGAGAACCTCTCGGGCCTGCGGGAGCAGACGGTGGCTGTCAAGTGCCTGGTGGTGCTGGTGGTGGCCGTGGGCCTCCCGCTGCTCGCCATCGGCTACTGGATCGCCCCCTGCAGCCGGGTACTGGCCCCACACCCTCCTGTGTTGGTGCAGTGTGACCCTCTAGATGAGGAGAGAAGGGAGCTTCCCCTGGATGTTGGTTCCCTCGCGAGCACAGATCTGTGCTGCGTCTKCAGGCACAAGGCGCTCAGGCCCAGGAGTTAAGATCTCGGGTAGACAGACAGGAGAGAGAGCCCAGCGCATTCAGGCCCACACTGTTGACAGCTTCATAAGCAGAGCGTTGACCGTGCTGGAACCAGAAGGGACAGCCCCACTGTGAGAACCAAGCAGTAGGTCATCGGGGCTGGCCGGAGCCCGCGGGAGCCATCTGAGGCTGGGTCCCAAGCCCACTGAGGACGGGCTCTCGGCCTGGGACCTGAGTCGCCCCCCTAGCCCTCGGTTCCTCCAGGCACATGTGGGGTCTGTGACATCATCTGGTTTTGCTTAGGCCACCTGTCCCCTACCCTTCCTCGCCTCTCGGCCTGCTCATGAGGAGCCCTGCAGAGGGGCCTGAGAGGTCCCTGAAGGAGGCGGGAGCGGGACCCAGCCTGGCCGCGGAGTCCCGGGAGGCTGATAAGGCACYGCTGGAGGGAGGGAAGGAGCTGCTCCGAGGCCGCTCAGTCCTGCTCCGTCTTCCAGAACCTGGTTTTATTTATAATGGGGGCAGTGTCAGGCAGAACGAGTCACGGCCACTTCTAAATGGCCCTGGAAACCCGTGGGCACTCTGGCTAGACTCCCGGGCAGTCCTGCTCCAGGGCACTGTGTGTGTGTGTGTGTGTGTGTGTGT